ACATATTGAAGCACTCACTGGGAAACTGCATTTCATGCCGTATTTTGCTGGCAAGTATCCGTAAACTGAAAAATATACTAATTTAGCCTCGTCTAATGTATCAATGCTGATTATTAAATCGTTAAATTAGTACTGTTTCTTTGCTGGCTGTATAATAAATTCGGGAAAGCTAATCTAGATATATGATATGGCTCTTTGTAGAGCAAACGTTTCACAACTTGGCAAGGAGGTCGCCCTAAACAAATGCAGGTGTTCCGTGTCTTATATGTAGCACTCGTACTTTTGATAGAATAAACCAGACTAGTAGTGAATATTTATTCATTTAGATGTTCTCGCAATCACATCGGAGCGTGGGATTACCTCCTCAGACAAACAAAGCTTTTCAACATTCAGTGTAATATAATAGGAAATATAATTCTTCTAAAAAATAGGGAAGTGAATAATACTTGAACTCTGTTGTTTTGACACATACTTAGTTGTTTGAGGTCAACTCTTAACCAGTCAAACTAAGCTGTTACACATTAATTCTACAGGTCCCTGGCTCAAACTTTATGCCGCCCTGCGGCCGCCATAAAAATCTAGGCTGATCACGATTCTGTGATGTGACAATCACTTGATAAAACATAGCCTCAATATTTGCCGTGAAACCTACTGGTCATCTACGAAATTTGGTGAAGGCATCTGCCTATCATTGACTAAGCCGGATCCAGAATACAAGTTTTTATTTGAGGACGTACCGGCGTACTGCGTCTCACAGCCGAGCACGATTCTAAGCTAATTAGGTTTTTTCAGATGGAAGACAGGGTGGTGCGTCAACTACTAAACCCGACACATAATGGAGTTCTCTGTAGCCTTTTCGGCGTAGCTCCGTTCAACATACTGTGATATCACATTAACATATCTCTTTCGTAGCCTCTGGTCACAGATGAGCTGGGTTCTCAAGAAATTTAATCTACTCATCGCCAATTTTGTATTATTAGGTAAGCTTTGTTGATGACACCAGAGTACAGCCATTTGATAATTCCCGTTTACCAACTGCATAGATTTGGACATAGCGTCCAAGGATTTACGATGGCGATTCGAGCCTTCTTTAAACTCTATTCCATATAATTGGTCTAATCAAGCTTCTAGTTCATTTTTGATACCCACATATTTCGTGGTCTCACTGCAATGTAAAAACAACGTTCACCCTAAATTTCTTATAACACATGGCTTGTTGGATTTTCCAACTCTCTTCCCCGTTATCTTATGTTCCTCAGCTACATTGCACTCACTCGGTACGTTAACGTCTTCGTTGTCAACTCTTGGCATGGTCAAGTCGCTCTATACCATGAACCAATGTTTTTTAGTAACAACGGCCGACAGCCTTTTGTTGTAATTAGGAGGATCCTCACTGACAAGTAATCCTCATCTGGTATTAGTAATATCCGACTGCTGCTTCATGGATTCGTAGAGGTCCTTAAACAAAAACTATCTACCCGTCTTGAGAATTCTACATGCCAATTTTACACATTCTCTTTGTAAGTATGGTGGGAGTTTCAAGAAAATACTCTCGGTAAGCTTTGTAGAATTCAAATAGGATATACGGTTTATCTGTGCGAGTGTTAGCTCACAAATCCGCATCTCATGAGATAGTCTTCTTGGATTATCTGGATCTGTTCCCTTAATAGGAGAGATGTTCAGCATCGTATCAAAAATTCCATGAGCTACAATGTGTTTCTGATTGAATGATCCTTCGATAAGCTCTAACGCCTTACGATAGCCTTCTTTCGGTTCGAGCAATGCGCAATGAACAATAGTAGCTTTAGTATCACCATCACAATACTGAATCAACTGGTTTAACCGAAATCGGGATCCAACACTTCCATCGTAGCAATCTTCAAAATTTTATATGAAACTTCAATATTTCATTGAATTACTATCAAACCATATGATCTCTCTCTTTGGTAGATCTAAAGCTTTGGATATCAATGTTGTCCGGTCCTTTTCACGAAGAACACCAACTGCATGTAGGGCAGATGTAGACTCGTACGACATCACCTTGTCAGCCACAACTTAACTATAATGTTCTCCTCCTTTTTGACATAACCTTTTCAACTCGATTTCTCTTTCTGTCTGAGCAAGCGTACTATAGCTAATTATAGCTCTGACCAGGGATCCATTCGGTAACGGTTTCCTCCAAAATGGTCATCACTACGAGTTTTTGAATAGTGTGAAAACAATTCAGTAATTCGCTCAGTCTTATGATTCTCCGTAGACATTTAACAGCACTTAACGCACGAATTTCTGATGAGTTACTGTTCGAAACTTTATAGGATATAATTTGTCATACAGATGTTGTATTAGAGCTGTAAACGGGATACTGGTGGCCTCAGAGTCTACGTGAAAGCCGTAATCAGAACAAGGACAACTTGGCTTTAACCTCTATCGATTTCTAAACGTAATGATAGCAATAATTTTACCAAGTGAAGTGCACGAACACGTCTACAAGAATTGCGTGTCTTATAGGACTGAACAGAAAAATGAGTTGTGACCACAATAATATGGTAGACTAATGGTATCCTTCAGTTGATAGGCTATATGATAACAATGACTACTGTATTCCACCACTTTCCGCCTACATAAAAAAACATTTTGTCGCCGTTACTCTTTCAAAAATGCTCTAAATTTGTCTCGAAATCCATACTCTCTATTGTAGCAACTTATGGTACAGCACCGATGCCCAACCTATAGTTAATAAGTTATAACAGTTTGATAAACGTGTGTCATGGAGCTAGTATAATGTATCAATATAGCTGAGTAACCTAATAAATTAAAGCCTATGGCATTTGTATCAACTTCTATTGCCCGTAAATTGGCGTGCCTCATGCAGCATATTGTTATCTGAGAATATATTGCTATTATTATTACTAATATTGTCTTCAAGTAAAATGCGAAACATAGAGCCTAGGGTAGGACATAATATATTTTATTATAATCACTTTAAATTAGCCTAACATCACAAAAAGAGGGATAGTGGAGATACTGACCTGCAAATATTAACGGTGAGGGTAGTGACTTCAGTACACCCGTGTTTGTGGGTCTTAACAGTTTATTTGTTTTTCGGAGCCGTATGATTGAGGATGAAGCATCCAATCAGTGATGCTAAGGTCGCTGTCTTGCGCTTGTTTCTCCTTAAACTCATGTTTCAAATATTATGGTGGGTTTGCTGTTCTATCGAGATCCCTTATACCGTGCTTAATTTCGCTCTAAGCTTTTGCAACTTGACAGATTGAGAACAACAAAAAATAATATGTAATAAGCAATAAAGTTACTAGTGTTCCTACAAGCCATATTCCACTTTGTTGAGCCTATGACTTTAAAGAATGGCCCTTCAGCTTCCAATTTCAGCTTTTACGTCATAGTATAGTTCATCATGCTACACATTACAATGCATTGTCATTTATCACTATTTTCCCTTACCTGAAAACTATTTAATTACGACTAATTTTTGTGGGAAACGCTACTAATATCTTTATCTACTGTCTGTCTATACCTTTTTCTGTTCAACTACGAACAGTGAAGCGTTTTCGAGGTTTATATCCAATTGCCTAGCCGTTCTTTCCGCTGTTTTCCTTTTCAGTACCCCATTTGCAGTGTATACTCATAAAGCTTCTTTTTACACCTGACACATAGACCTCACAAACGCGTTTGTCAGGGTCACAACTTATAGAAAACGCTTTCCATTCACTACTTTATGACAACTGAATACTTACTAAGTAGTTCCATAATACAAATATTTGGCAGGTAAGATCCTTTGAACACAGTCCAGTAAAACCATTCCTGACTTACTGATGCTGCATTATAACAAACCTGTTGGGTATCCACCTTATCTTTGAACATTTAGTGAAAACCTCACAGTATCATATTGTTCATCCTTGTAAAAATGGTTTATACCTGTCTTGTCGTTAATATACTTTCGCCATTGTATATTGGCTTAAAATGGTCAAGATTTGTGAGCTGAGGATTTACCATGAAATATAAACCGTAGTAAAATGTATTGATATTCCCAAAACAGAGTCCAAACTGCATCAGTATGTTCATAAATACCGAACGTTGACTATAATGATGCACATAAAGAGACAGTAACAGTTATTACAGGTTTCCAGTTGTGATTTCGACTTCTAGTTTAACCTCATCACCAGCTTGCGTTCTGAATTCTAGGCAAATAATAATCCTGTGGTCTTGTTAAATTATAAATTCGTCTAACCAGGTGCTATAATTCCGTTTAAGCCCAAAAATGACTCATACACTACTATGTCTCAATTACCAAGCTAATTAATTTTGATTCTGTTTGCTAGAAGTGGTTCATTTCAAATTTAACCTGTAAGGAGACTTCAAAAACAATAAATTTCTACACACTAGTCCTCAGTTGTTGTTCATCAACATATCATCTCTTTGCTGATACAACCACTTTGCCATTTCGTCCAGTGATTTGTCATGTGAAAGTTTTCAAAAAGCGTTTCGACTGTAAAATCTAGTTTCAGTGAACAAATTGACGAAAAAGCTTTTTCCCAACAGTTTAAAAATACCACTATATTACCTGGGACCCACGGAGACACCAGGAGGTTACTTGTAGGGTGTCCCGCTATTTAATACAGGAAGCGTGAAACACATGGAATGCATAGTACTGATTTAAGCACAAAGTTTTCACCATTAAGTATAGAAGATCAGGAGATACAAAACCCACACAAAATAGGAAAATGAGCAACTCATCCGTCTTTTTATTGTACAACACGAGGTATTAAGTCTGTTCCTGACCAGACAAGACTGCTGCAAAGTCAAGCATCAAGTTCTGACTTGTAATGACTGAAGTTCGGAATAATTTCTCGTTTGAATAATCCACTAATGGACAATCTAAAAACATACAACTGCTCACTTGTAAAATATACCAGACATTTATCTCGAGAGCAAAATTAGTAATCTGTTATTTTCCTAATGACCTAGAAAACTTTTAAAGCAAATATGGCTCCAACAGGATTACCCAATTATGTCGTTGCTTGGGTATACACACTCACCGGCGCCAACTACAAGCATTGTTTTACATGTCTGTTTCGCAACGCTTTTTTCTGTTCGCGAAGGTTTGTCTTTTCGCTGTTCACTACTAAACTTACCAGAGTTTCAGACCACAGCTATGTAGTCGGTCACTTAAGACATCTAGCTCTGCCTTTGGCACTAAAATGACTGTCAGGGATGCCCTCAATTCTGCTATGCGTGAAGAACTGGAACGGGATAAAGATGTTATTATTCTCGGCGAGGAAGTTGCTCAGTATGATGGTGCCTACAAAGTATGATATCATGGCATTTAATGCTTAGTTTGCTAGGTTACAAAAGGTCTTTGGAAGATGTTTGGAGATAGTCGTGTCATGGATACACCAATAACAGAAGTATAGAGTTTTACCTAAGGCTTTTATGTAACTTGTAATTTTTAGATGGGGTTTGCTGGAATTGCTGTTGGAGCAGCTATGGCTGGCCTGAAGCCCATTTGTGAATTCATGACTTTTAATTTTGCTATGCAGGCTATAGACCAAATAATCAATTCTGCTGCAAAATCAGCGTACATGTCCGCTGGACTAGTGAGTGAAATAGTTTTTTTCTCAGCTGTCACGTCTAATTCTTTTTGTTTAACTAAGTGCTCTAATCGTTTGAGGTTTGATTGTGACACTGAACTATACGTTTATTTGTTTTTGATAAACAGTTTCACCAACAATATGCTTAATAAATTATCTCTATAATTTGTAACGTTAGTACATTCATTATTCCTCTTTGATTTTCAGTCTCAGTGACCTATTTTGTTTATTACTATATTGTATTCACACCGATCAATGATCAACTGAGCATAGAGGAAGAAAGTAGACGGCGTTTTGAGTGCTTAATAAAAAATCCTCTATATGTGCATTAATAAATAATTCTAGTAATTACCACTTTTCGGTTATCTAGTGCTAATGCACACAATCCGTTTAGTCATAGGTTTAAAAGTCTCCGGATCTTATAACTTTAACTAAAATTTTGACTGTTTAGGTAGAGAATGGCAACTTCTGATATGGCAAAACTGCTTTAAAAAGACCAATACTTGTTTATTCTACTTTTAAATCAAACCACGACAATTTTCCAACTGTACTTTTTATAAACATATTACTACTAGTCATATGTAAGGCACTATACGGATTTTTTTTCTCTGTAATTCATTTCTCGCGAATACCTGACTCATTATATGTATTGGAGTGTAAATATTTGGGACTTTATGTACATATTCTAATAATTTCCCTCAAGTTGAGTTGTTATGGATCTTGTTACATTGTTTTGTGCGGAAATTTTCCTAGTATTCGTCAACGAAACTAACTGTATCATGCCTCACAACGCTCGTCGCAAGTCAATGTTATTAGGAAATTAAATCATACAATTCTGAAAATATGCTGTCCGGTGTACAGCAACTTATTCGTTATATTGTGAGTGATCATCAGATTTATTAAGTTAACTGTCAGTTAAAAAACAATCTGACATAATACCTTAACACAGTATTTAAGAGTACAATCTAAATAAACCTATTCTACATCCAGAAAGTTACTCAAAACTCTACGAATAACACAGGAAATCAGATTTGTTGGTTCTCTTGTTGACTATTGTAATCAGTTACTCCATAGTGGCTTTAACCTTGACGTGGTGACCATGTTTGTATCATCAAGTTATATTAGATGGAGTACTGACTTCTTGAGGTGCTGTACACTAGTCAAGTTAGCTAGAAAGCTCCAAACATTTGATAGCTTTTAGATAAGCTCCCAAATTCTAAATAGAACTACTCAATTCATACAAGAGACTAGACGAACGGCGCTTAGAATGTTGTATGAGTAAGTATGATAATTAGAAGTATTTGAATCAATGCACTAACTAAGAATTCCTGACAGCTCAATTTAAGGCAGTTAGAACTAGATGAGTACGAATGAACGTATTGTATTTGAAATCAGTAATCAGCGGGCGCTCAAGTACAAAGGAATCATTAATTCTTTCAAATGTCAGTCAGTCAGCTACAATGTAGGACCAGGCACATATGTGCATCAGTCCAAGTTGCTATACCTCATTAGCACAACAAAATGAACACCGGATGCATAGAAGTAATTAATTCAGTGGTGGTAATAAATAAGAGAAAGAACGTATATAAGGACATAGTACAGGAAGAAAGAATTAGATCGTAGAAAGATATGAAGCGATTTTAATCTCTTAGTTTAAGGGAAGACAGAATGTATGCACCAACGCCACTCTGATCGATTCTAAGCCATGTCACATAGAGTCTCCTACCATTGGTTACGATAGTTACTCGGACCCCAACCAGGTAGTCTGCATCTACCAACATGGCTCAGACTAAAACTTAGTGACTTCAAGCGCTGATACCATATTTTGGTTTGGCCGCCCCTAACTTTCTTCCATCCATCCCCAACACTGGTTAGCATTGCCTGTGTTCTAGAACCTGATGAATGGTGAATATGTGGTCGTTGCAGGCATGACTAGGTCTGAAGCCAGCCTGAAGAGGGAAGTTGATTATGAATACAATGGTCTTAATTGCTGTTAGAATTATGATGGCGGTTATCACACCTGGTTGCCCACACCGCGGAAGGGCTCTTCTGGAGGCACCTGAAAAGGAAAGTTGATTAGAGGTGGTCTTAGTGACCTGAGAGCGTGACCTCAGTACCCAAGGGACAACTGTTTGAGGTCGGTCACACACGACCTTTTTATGAGTAATTTTTGTGTTAGTTATGTACTTCTTGAGACCTTACCACCGAAGTTGGGTATCCGTGGGATAAGACGGGGTGTGTATTTTTAAGGTCGACGTTTTTTATCCCTACCCCTCCTTATGGGAAGGAATCATCGCTGTTATGCTGGTTGTCTGAAGAAAACGCCTAACTTCCGTCACACCTCTGTACAGTCAGCGGTACAACTTCGCCCTCAGACCTTAACTTTGCTGCTTATAGTCTTACCGCTCTTCAACCGACCTGCCTGGCTTGGTAGGACCTTGAGGAACGACTGTTCCAGCCAGTACAGCTCGATTGATTCATCTCGATAGTCAAGCCTGACCACCACGTTGAGTTAGCAACAACGGTCGGGTCTTTCAAATACCACGGTAAATCGACATTCAGGCACTAAATAACAACTCACTGATTTGGCTTTTGTCGTCAATCATTTTTTGGTTAATATTAGTCTTTGATCAAAAAGGTTTCTCGCTTTGTTTCGTTAGGCATATCAATGAACTTTAACTTTAGACTGCTTATTAAAGTTATCGGTTTTAAGGAACAGTAGATTTGAGACCTGGTTACAAATTACCTGAAATAAATGCTTATTTATATTGTGCTTAACAGTTATCATAATTGAAATATTTGGTTTCTAAAAGAATGAGATAATTTGTAAACATTAATCTAATGTGAATAACTTTTTAGTTTTGAATTTCTCTGTGTGGTTTTGTGGAGAGCCTATGAAATTTCGAAGTTGTTATCATCTCATTCCTGAGCTTTCATTTTCGAATAAACCACTGTGCTGTTTCACAATATTGCTTCCAGTTACTTTGCCTACGAAACAAAACTATTCACGTAATAAAAAAATAACAATCCAAGTCGTTATATCTCATTTCTGTTTCTTATGTTTTCTAGGTGTCAGTCCCAATTGTTTTCAGAGGGCCGAATGGATGCTCAGCTGGCGTCGCCGCCCAGCATAGTCAGGATTACGGTGCGTGGTACGCTAGTTGTCCTGGTCTTAAAGTTCTGGCCCCTTACAATTGTGAAGATTGTCGAGGTCTCCTGAAATCGGCCATACGTGATCCGGATCCAGGTAAGTTATATATATATATATATATATATATATATATATATATATATATCGTTTGTAAGTTTTGAAGTACTAGATTGATATAACTCCATTATTATTCTGATATTTGTTTCCTCATATATTAGTGGTTCATTTGGAGAGCGAATTATTATATGGACAGTCATTTGATGTTTCAGACGATGCATTGTCTTCAGACTTCTTGATTCCTATAGGTCAAGCTAAAGTTGAAAGGGAAGGTAAGCCTTTTTCTTTTTCAAGTTTTTTCGTCCTTATTCTTTGATTTAGCATTAGATTCTCACTGTTAGTGCATGAGTATTTACTAATTGCTAATATATGACTTTAAAATGTGTCAGTTGTATATCTATTATACAACTCCATTACTTTGTATTTCAACTTTTCTGGTAGTTTTCATTCGCCCATTGTTTTTCTTACAACTTTACTTATGTCCTACATTTTCGTCTTTAATCACCTTACAAAAACGTAAAATTTAATGTGATGTTGCTTTATAAACAAACAACGTAAACCAGGACAAAAAACAGAAGTGTTGAACCTCACACTTTTATTAAAGCTACCACATTTTGAAGTAAAAAAATATTTAGCATCAAGAGGGGAAAATGTGTGAATGCAAACAGGGAAAACATGAGTGCAATATGGAGTAAATACATGCAGTGCTATAAGGTTTTTAAGATTTAATGCAGTATCAAGAATAAATTTACGCATGTCATTATCGTCAGTTGTTCAGCACTTCGACTTTCGATCCCAACCAGGTGATCTGTACAATTCATAACAACTGCCAGCAATCTCAAAACTAATTTCATATTTCACTCTTTCCGCTCTTTGATTTTTATAGTCCAATTCCACTAATGATGATATTTCGTTTAGTGGTTGCGTAACTTGTGTAATGTATGTCTTAAGCACCTCAGTGTGCATAAGTTAACAACTATAGATGACTAATTACCAAGATCTTTGCTTTATTTCTATATTATTCACTCAGTACTCTACAGTAACCCGTGATTAAATACTTCTCGCTAACTCATCTTCAGCCAAAGTAATTCAAAATTAAAGCGTAAGGCCATCCTGTATTCGTTTCTCATGATATTTATAATACGGTTACGACGAAAAGCATAAATTATTTTCTGTTCATCAATAACAGACGTGATCTAAAAAAATCTGTTATTCTTTTCACAATAATGTTAAGTTTAGTCATTGAAATACGCTATTTACAGGTATTGGATATATTATGCTGACAAGGAAAGGATATCGCTATTAAAAATAATTGACGCAACATCGTGATCAAGCATAGTTACATGGATATGGATTTTAGAAAAAAATTTCTGTGAGGGGCATTCAATAGTAATTCGCTACACTAACCGAAGCAGTTAGTCCTCAGTCCGAACTCACCATATGCTGTTTATAAAGCACATGCTTTAATAACAAATCTATCGCTTGATCATATATAAGTTTCGATTTTCTGATTTGATATGTGAATTTATGCATCCTATAATAAAAAAACAGTAGTATTAAGCGGCTAGGTAATGACTCAGCTATGGTGCACATAATTTTTGATGTCTTTGTCAGGTCAGAAGGTGTTTCTGTGTATCGTAGATGGGATTTATTAGGAAGCAATATTTAGAGTCGTTAATCAGTAATATCCTTTGTTGGTTATAAAATTTTATTGCTTCCACCTTTATGGTGGAAGAAATCTACTGCTTCCCAACACTTTTCGTATAGGGGAAAAACTAGACATGTACATAAATAACATTCATTAATAGTGACTCCCGTATACGTCACTTCGCAAATCTTGGTTGTCTGTATAAATACTGATATCTTTGACACTTGAAATGATATTATAAAAATGTATTGCTTATGGTGTTTTCGTGCAATATGTTTCCTTCATTCGTTTCTTACATTTTTAGAATGATAGAATTTAGTCGAAGTTGAATTATCAGATACTTTTTTTACTATCTCTAGTTAATTAAATATGATATGCATAGTCCAAAAGTTGATCACAGTTAGAAATATTTTCGAAAGAATAGTCCTCCACATGGCAGTAGGAAGTTTCGGAAAGAAATATTCACAATAGCCCAGAGACGACAAAGCTTATGTCGGCTCAGGCTTTTGAGGTTTAGAATGTTTAGGGGATCGTAAGTGTACAGTGACTATACACGTAGTAACTTTTGTTCTCCTTAAACTTTAAGAATAATTTCTTACTTTGCCCTGTAATTCAAATACCCATTTAAGTTTATTTTGGTGTGTTAGAACTTTGTTTTGTAATTAACCTCACTAGTAAATTTGGTCAAAATCCTCTTTTTGTGAAACTGTTCTCGCAAATCTTAAAAGTTTTCATAAATGTCCACGTTTTTGTTTTAAAATATGTCCTTTTTATAAGTGTTTGTAGGAGAAATGTCATTTAATTTTCAAAACAATTGATTTTTAAAAAAAAATTTCGATAGTATGGTGACAAACAGAGTTAATCTCAGATGTGTGATAGATATTTATGCGATAGATTTCTAACAGTTTTATCACGCGTTTGTTAATGTATTGTAGATAAGACTTATGCATGGTGATTTGAAATGTAAAGAGAGAGAGAAGCGAATGTTATGAATCGTGTATTCAACGTTCTACATACTTACTGGTCGTTTTTTGTGTTTTAATTTATAGGGAAAGATGTCACTCTCGTTAGTTACAGTTTAGGTGTGGGTACTTGCCTTGCTGCTGCTGAAGAATTATCAAAACTAGGTATCAGTGCTGAGGTATGCAAGAACTGTTTCATCATTTTTCTTTGGTAATCCGTGTGTAGCATAATTTTCAATGAGTTTTCTTCAACCGCTTACTTATATAATTCTGTGATTCAAACTTTTAGATCATTCTCCTTTTTTTTCTAGTCTTTTTAGATGAACTAGACAGTTTATAATTTTGAAATAAAAATCATGACATAGGTTTTAGGAACAATTAATGGTAGTTATTAAGATGTCCGAAATTCATAAGAAGATACAGAACGTATTAATCTCTAATATTGTGATAGATTTCAGTTTGTTTCCGGCTACTAGTATCTGTCATCTTGAATACTCCAACTCATATCATATTTGAACAGGTTATATGTGGGGCTGTGACTGCATAATTTAGGACTATAACTTCCAACCCGTGGGCGATAAGTTTGGACTTCTGTCCAAGTTTAACTGGCCAGTCACTGCATAGTATATTTTGCTTATGAGTCGATAATACAGATTGTATTATCTGGTTCATGTGTTTTTCAGTTGTTCTTTTATTTTCTTGACACTGTAAGGTGGACTCTAATATATTGCATATATTCTATTCTTTTTTTTCTTATTTTAGGTAATTAATTTGCGTTCCTTGAGGCCGATGGATGAAGAAACAATATTTCGCTCCGTTAAAAAGACACATTATTTAGTAACCGTAGAAAATGGTTGGCCTGTATGTGGTATTGGTGCTGAAATATGTGCTCGCGTCATGGAAAGTAAGTCTAGTACCCATTGTAAATATATTATTCCATTCATATCCTTTCTAAAAATTTCAGGATACTAGGCTATTTTAAATCACGTTTTATATTAAATTTTGCAATAAAGTGCACCGTAAACATTCACCATGATCAAAATTGAGAGAAAGTATGAGAAAATCAACCTACTGTAAGATTTAAAAAATATTTATTCGTTTCTATTTGGTGTTTGAATAATTGAAGCCTTTTGTTAGATTGATGACTTTATGACTAAGAAAACAACTCAGATTTTATCCAATTAAGTTACAGATGCAAACACTGCTCCATCTGATTGATTCAATTTCGAAAATAGAGTACTAGTATCATTAGTTTTTACATAACTAAATTGTAATTCATAGTATATACTCAATAAAAATGAGTTACATTCGTTGAGTTAGTAAATTTACTGTTTCATGATTGCATAAGTAATTGTCATGATTATTTGATTAAATGGATTGGCAAAGCTTCAGTTATATCATTTTATTCGTTATGACAAATTTACTTACAACTGCTTTTCAATGCTTCAGTCAATTATCGCATTACAAATTTCTTGCTAATATTTAAACTTTGAGTATTGTTGGTTTATGGATATTTAATTCACTTGTGATATTTTCGGTAAACAATTACTTAATAACTCAATAAGACTTATACTTTGAATTGACTTTGTAATTTTAACTGACGCTCCACTAAACAAAGCTATATGTAAGAAATCATTCCTGAGGGTTATCAAAATCAATCATCTGAGTGAAATAGCCTATAATGATGGTTTTGTAAATGGTGCTAGCTGTCCTACCAGTCTATAGTCAAATAATCCAAATTATTAGGCTTTAATCTCAATCTATAAAATGATAGAACAATGTTGGAGGTTGTATACACAAGCAGTCATTACAACTTAATGTATAACTTGTTGCTCCAATATTTTGTTACCATTATATATATATATATATATATATATATATATATATATATATATATATATATATATATATATATATATATATATATATATATATATATATATAGTTTATATTAAAATATTACAAACTAAACATTTTGCTCTTATATTTTATTATTTTTTTAGCGGATACCTTCAACTATTTAGATGCTCCAGCTTTACGAGTGACTGGCGCAGATATTCCTATGCCATATGCTCTTAATCTGGAGCGTGCTTCTTATCCTGATACACATAATATTGTAACTACTGTAAAAATGGTTAAAAATATTCAGTAAACAGTTAGCTTTTTAACTAATTAACTGCCTTTCGTACCGGCCATGCAAGCTACCTACTAGTTTATTATATAAAATTTTCTTTCACTATTGATGCATCTCAGTATACTTATGATTTGTAAAATTTAATGTGTTCCACTGTTACAACAACTACTAATACTACTTATTTAAATGTCTAGCAATTTTGCCTCGGCTGTTGTTTTGCATAAAATTATATCAGTTAGTTAATAAAGTATTTTTTATTACTTCATTTCTATATTTCTATTTCAGAAAAAATCAAGGGTATATAAAATGAGAACAAACAAAAATATCTTCAGAGTTTTTGTTTGTTGTCTAAATAATTTTTGGAGTTCTGTATAGCTTTCAGAAATCAAACTGAGGTTTTTCGAAGAAGATATCTTTATAATTCAAAATCTCTGAAACGATAATGATAATAATAATAAAGATAATAAGATAAGCAGGTTTAACGAATATTTCGCCAATTCATAATTGATCTCTCTACATACCACTCTCTTTAATGTCTTCACATAGGTTTGCGATACGACCGCTTCTATTTTAGCGATTTATCGGGGTTTTAACTTTAGGTGTGAGATGAGTTACTTGGAAATTGCACTTAACCTTATGACAACAAAATGTCGCTTTATTTCACAAGACACGACAGTCTAATAATTTTGCTTAGTTAAATTGATTAGAATTGATCCGCAAAGGTAAATGAAAAACAAAGACATCTTGAGTAGAAAAAAAGAGATAACTTGTTATTAAATTAACAGATACAATATAGTAAGTCTGTTAATTATTAAGATGCTTTCCGATTTGTTTTTCCATAATTATTCAACCTCTGACTTGTAAGATTCAGATTTAAATGTTGTGAGAGTTCAGCTAAGTTAAAGACCTTATGTATTAGTTTCATGCATTTGACAGCGCAGCTTCCATTTCGCTCTGGTTACCATAACATTAAGTAAGTTATTAATAGTAAGGAGTGTTTAGTACGTTCATAACTAGCGGTCGTTGTTTTAAACTGCATCAGCCTTGACAAAATATATACAAGAAGCACTTTTATCTAGGCTTATCAATTGCCTTAATATTTCAATAAAATTTTACCCCATAATATAGACAAATACACACTTATTGTATTTAATTTAAAATATTCTTATGGTTTTTAATTGTTTCTCTCTGACATAATGAAGCATATCCTTCAACACCACTTATTGTATCAAGACAATGAATGAAAAATAAGAGGATTTAGTGGGAAAAACATTAAAGTTGAACATCCCAGCATAACAGAATACCACCTGAAAACTGAACTCATTCCGACGAAGGCTTCAAAAGAATATAATCATGAGCTTACTAGTGACTTGTAGATGATTTCATGAAGTTTTATTGGAAAGGAATATCTATAAGATTTCTGTCATGTCGGGAATGAAACGGTTGTTATTAGTGAAATTTGATGGTATGGTATATCGAGAAATGATTGAAGGCAGTAATGGGGACCATTTAAATTTATCCTAGTTGACTATCCCTTAACCACTTACCGTGAGACATAAAGTTCGTGTTCGATTGCCAGCTAGATCTGGTGTGTTACTACTGAGAAGTTTCTTGCTAGGACAAAGAAGAGGTACCTTGCTTTTAAAGGTATAACTATCTATGGTAAATGCAGGCCATAAGTAAATATTTATTTTGGGAAATGTATTTTATGTGACTGCAAAAATGATTATTAGTGATAAATCTGTGAGCAGCTTAACAGACTAATCGACGCTTCAAATAATCGTTTCCTGGTAAACGTGTGGAATGTAATGTTGAAGCTGACATGCACACATGTTTGGCTGCTTTTAGGTTGTCAGTTTAGAGCATGCTAAAAGGTTTATTTATCATATCTTGAAAATAACTTCATTGACTTTTATGGATCATACAGGTTTTCTAAGCTTAATTCAGAATTAATGGGATTTCCCTTGAGTATATTAAATGCATTTAATTTCTATTAAACGTTGTCGTCTCCTTACAACTTCGAAGTAACCAGGATTTCGTATCTTTCAATGAATATTTTCCCTTCATTTTTACATCATAAAACATCTACTTTTAAATAATTTAAATACTCATGCCTTTAAATAAGCAGTTTTTCACTTACGTGAAGTTAACCTCTTCTAGATTCTTTGGATCTAATTCTTGCATTAATACTTTCATTTGTTCTTCAGTAAATTGTATTCCAAGTCTCTATAGGATGTAAATGTTTCGATTATATATAGTTTTTCAAAAAAGTGAGGTTTTCAATTTATACAAATTGTCTGTTTATTATTAACCTTAAAAGAAATTAGTCACGTAGGTATACATTCCATTTTATATCGCCACTACATATTATACAAAATGAAAAACAGTGGTCCGTCTGGATTTACAGACTATTCTTTTTAATCGATCTAGTACCTTCCTTTTACATGTTAAAGTAACATCAACTGTTATCGATGTGGTGAATATTTATCCTGTCATCAACGTCGTTATCGATATTTTTTTCCGATCTGTAGTTAATAATAAGAGAAAGAATTAACGAAACACCGTCTAATAACAGCTCACCAATGTGCAATAAACAACTTGTAATAATTGTTCGAATATATGACTTTACACCAGATTGTTTTTTTTTAAAGTAGGAGCATCACATCTTGTTATTCATTTAATTGATTCATTTTAACCAATGACTAATCTTTTCGTTTTATTGCATGATATATTGATCTTTTATTGGACACAGATAATGACCGTATAGGTTCACTTTAAGAAATTCTTAATATTAAATGTGTTCCACAGCATGATTTACTGAGATTAGCAAATTTGGTAATATCATGTGTACTTATTTTTTTTTTTTACAGTTTACATTGTTAAGGTGAAAGTTGACATGAGTAAAGACAAGACAAGTAGGATCATAAAAACAGTAGTACATAATGAGAAAAATGCAAAGAAATTGAAAGAAACGAGTTCAGTATTTTGAGGTCGACGGAAGAGAAGTTATTATCTGCATCATTGTAGGTCATTTTAATCAACATTACAGAAAATATGAAATGCTAAATTAAAATTATCTAGCTGAGTCTGTTTCATTCTGTATGTATCATTGTAAGAGTCAGTGACAACATATTTCAGTTTGATCACCCTAAGATATACTCCAACATGTTTTCTGTAAAACTGCTAGTCCACTCATAACTAACCAGAATTAGTAAAGACTTTGCTCATACTTTTATATTGTGTAATTCAAATGTGCGTTTATGATTATGACAGTATGCATGGATAAGGCCTATTATTTTCTACAGAATGTATTAATTATAATAAAACTAACATTATGCTGACAGAATAGTTAATTTTAAGGTAGATGTATTAATAGCTAGGAAATTAATCTATTAGCCAATATTACTGAAAATATTGATTCAACACAAGATCCAATGTTCAAATTCAGTAATTCATTATCAACAGGGGAAACATATAAATCCCTGTGAATGATAATAAATATCATATACGTTAGGAAAAAGTGATAACAATCATGACTTAATGGCTTGTTAGATGAAATATGCAAATTATTGAATAAAACGGAATCCGGCAAATTGTAGATTATTGATTTTGAGTTCTACTATATTTATTCCATGACCTAAGTGTCAAAATAATGTTTTATGTTTACTTCGAAATTCATTTATTTGATTTTGGTGTCATAAAAAGACATTTATTTCTATCGTTTACCAACGGAAATGAAACTTTATTTCTAACTTTGTTTTTAGTAATTATAACGTTGTACAGTGAGTAACCTATCAGTGTCAATTAATACTATTCCCCCTAAAAACTCATCACAATAAGCTTGTTTCTTGTTTTCATTGTAATAAACATCCATGAAATTTTTTTGAAAAATCAAGCTGATTATTTATGACTTTCATAAAGTTTAAAGCGTATACACAAGTAGTTTGATTAGATTGGATCGATTAGCAATAATCTGAACAGTAAGTTGGCTGTTGGTAATATAAAAAAAAACTATACTGGTTTATTGTTCTCACCAGCTTTCTTACCTTACATTATCCTTGATATAATCATGGTAATTACTAATTCTCAATAGGTTATCTTTAAAATAAGCTTTCAATATTCAATGAATTTCATGAGTTTCTTTGTAAATTGCGATCGTATGCACAAAATATGACTACTATTATTATTATTTTTAAAAAAAATGTCATAACTCACCGTCATGTAAATCTGTTTAAATAATACAACACAAAATGATTAGCTTTCTTGAAATTCATCATAAAATAATTTAGATTTATTAATTCTAATAATGAAATATTTCAGTCATATTAAAGGACTAGTATTACGTCTTACTTAGTTGATCGAATGGTAATTGCACTATTATTTCTCTCTCATCCTATTTGACCCATATTTATTCTGATCATGGATCTTAAAATTTCACTTAACATATACGCAGATTCAAGTTAACATTCTATATGAGTTATATTAACATTAACAATTTAATTGTATTTTGTTTATCACAATCCTAAATTCACATGCTTTAAACGATGTACTTTACCCTTAACCTGATCATTTTTTGGATTATTAATTTGGATATATGAATTATAGAACCTGAAGAGAATTTATCGAAAAGGTATATTCCTCATTCAAATACTAGTCTTTTAATGAAATATCTATTATAAGAAATCAATCAAAATATGATCTAGAAATTAGGGTATAGTTAGATTGTAACATTATATAAAATTTTATAATCATTAAAATAATAAAACAAACTAATCCGATTAACTTTTGGAAGTGATTAATCAAATTTAGAAATAAATATTTTTTTTATAATATCACAATAACTATTTAATATTGAAAAGATATTATTGTACTTAGATTATTGTCAAATTATTCGTGTATTTAACTGATATATATTATATAATAAGCGAATATTAGTTGAACTTTCATTTAGATTTAAATGAAAATTTTTACAACGATTAGGTTTTTTTACTACATAGATAACATTTAAATATAAATGACGTTTAAAGTTGTTTCATGTCATTAATTGATGTTGATTTCGAAAAGAAAATCTTAAAGCCAAGGCGGACACGTTAACTTTGTCGATACAGTTATAAGACTTGTTATCAGTGGCAATTTACAACTATGTCAGCGTTCGGGTTCAGGATTTTCAGATCTAACAGATAGCGAGTTAACTTCAAAATGAATAAATCAGAATCTAATGGTCTAAATTCTTAACTTCAGTCACTTGATAAAATGTCATTATTC